TTGTTTTGTAAAACTTGGACTCAGTCAAAAGGCTGAACCCAAGAATATAGAAGGCCACATGTGGCCTTGAGGCCAAAAGTTCCCCACCCCTGGCTCTGGACAACATGAAACCTCTCTCTCACACTCTGTAGCCTGACAAGACTACTTGAGGTCCACCTGACTTTGTATCTCTCTGCCTTTGCACTGGCTGTACCCTTTGCCCACAATGCTTTTCTTTCTTACTTCTGCTTCTTAGGGTGTTATTTTTTTCCAGACCCTAAAATTGAAGCAGATAAGCTGAGTCTTTGGATGGAGGCAAAGGTTGGCTTTGGAAGCAAAATCTGCCCATAGTGAATTCACAGATCCCATACTGTGAATAGGAGACTTTCAGAACAACTTGGATTCAATTAAAGGCAAAAGGCTCTGAGTGTTGTGGGGTCATGGCAGGGAGATGATTCATACCTGGGATATTCTGCATATTATGCACAAAGCAGACCTGAGGTCACATTTAATCTCAGGTACTTCAACAGAAAGTGCCATCTTGGGCAGGTAGATTAAGAATCTGTCCCAATTCTCTCTGACACCACTGCCATAATCCACCTAAATCTGTTCCAGATCTACAGATGGGAGGGTAAAAGGGATAAAGCCCATGCTGTCCCTCCTAGATACAGAGTATGAGATTTCCAAAGAGATAATTAACCGTTCAGGTACTGGGCCAAATCACCTACCCCTCCTCTCTAAACCTTTTTATGCCCTGATTTTCCCCACCCCCCAATTTAGCCCAATTTGGATGCACCATAGTTGCCAATATTAACATACCCAGGGAAGTGCAGACTGCATTTTGAGGTCTCTCTTTGAGACAGTTTGGTAAAGGGGTTTTGGGTTAGGAAGATGGTTGGGATTGTAAATGCCTGACTCTTCTTTCCAGTGGTGTGTGTGTGTGTGTGTGTGTGTGTGTGTGTGTGTGTGCATGAAACAGAGAGAGAGAGAGAGAGAGAGAGAGCAAGATAGATAGATAGAGAGACAGAGACAGAGACAGAAAGAAAGACAGAGAGAAAAACAGAGACAAAGGGAGAGACAGAGAGAGACAGACAGACAGATATAAACACAGACATAGAGACAGACAGAGAGGAGAGATATATGTAGGGAGAGATGTGCATATGTGTGAAATTTGTAGGGGGAAGTATGCATTTGGGTTAAGGAGAGGCATGCATGAAGAAGAAGGGTATTTGTTGAGTAGAGGCAGGCATTAAAGGAAGTGGTGAAAATAGAGGTTCTGAGTCTGTGTGTGAGGGGAAGGTTTGCATATGAGTGGAAGTGGGGAGGGGCAATGAGTGTGTGTATATGTGTGTGTGTGTGTGTGTGTGTATGTGTTACTCTCAAGTTGTATCATTCTCTTAAAAATGTTGTATGGATTGAAGTACTGTCCTTGGAGGTACTCAAACAAAAGCTGGCTGGCTACTTGGGGATACTGTATGTAAGAAATGATACATCCAGCTAGGTGATACAGTGGATAGAATGCCATGGTCCTGGAGTCAAGAGGAGCTGAATTCAAATCTAGACTCAGACACTTTTTAGCTGTGCAACTCTGGGAAAGTCATCTAATTTCAGTTTGCCTCAACTAGAATTTAAATTGTTCTACATTCTGCTAGCAAAATGCTTTACAAATATCTCATTTTTGTCCTTACTACAACCCTGGGAGGTAGGTGCTATTATTATCCCCATTTTGCTGATGAGAAAACTGAGGCAGACATGTGTTAATAATAACACCTACCTCCCAGAGTTATTGAAAAGATAAAAATGAGGTATTTACAAAGCACCTCACCTCAAAGCACTATAAAATGCTAGTTATTCTTATTCATGTATAGGAAAGGAAGTTGAACTTGAAATTTTCAAATTTCTTCCAATTCTGAGATTCTATGAATCTATGATTCTATGACTGTTAATAATTGGTCAGCAGTTAATAGTTCACAAAATCATAGACTTAGAAGGATCCTCAGAAGCCTAGACTGTACAAGAATCAGAACTCCCTCTCCAACATTCTCAACGAATAGTTGTCCAAGGCCCTGCTTGAATATTTATCATCATCATCATCATCATCATCAGCAGCAGCAGCAGCAGCAGCAGCAGCAATTGGGATTAAGTGATTTGCCCAGGGTCACATGGCTAGTAAATGTCTGAGGCCGGATTTGAGATCAGATCCTCCTGACTCTAGAGTCAGTGCTCTGTCCATGGTGCCACCTAGTTGTCTCTCTCCTTGAATATTTTTAATGTGAAGCAGCATGAGGTATATAGTGAAAAATTCTGGACTTGGTGTTTAGACCTGAGTTCAAATCCTACTGCCTACACTTACTTGTTCCATGACCTTGGACAAGCCACTGTATTTCTCTGAGCCTCAGATTCCTTATCTGTAAAATTGGCATAATAAAAACTGTACTACTTACCTCACAGAATTGCTTATCCCAGTTCAAATGAGATAATGAAAGGATGTAATGTGTTTTGCTTAGAAGAGCTATCTAAATGTCAGCTATTATTAGTGTCAGGAAGCTCACTCCCTTCTGTGGTAGTTTATTTGTTTTATTAAATAGGCACATTGACTTGTAGCTACTAGGATTTCAGAGGCCATCTGGTTTAGACTCCTCATTTTATAATTTAGGACATTTGGGCCCAGATAGATTCAGTGACTTGACTGAGATCATACAGAATCATAGGCAGGATGTGAACCCAAGTCTTTTGACTCCTACACCAAGCTGCAAAGTTTTTCACCCCCAATCTCCAGCTGAGCCCCTCTGTTTAAGGAGACAGTAGCAAGGTCATTCTACTCCCTATGTGGAAATTACTTAAATTGTGAATCTTTGGCAACCCTTTATTTTTAAGCCTAAGGAGGTTTTCCCAACTGCCACGTACCTTCCTGGGTTATTTCCCAGATATTCTGCAAACCAATGTTCTAAAATATAGCAAAAAATGAATTGTGTAGTTAAAGAAACTACTAAGCTATTGAAAGCCAGGGACTGTCTCTGATCCATACCCAACAGAGTCCAACACTGAGTCCTGACTCTGAGCCCTGAAGGGGAAAGGAATGGAAAGGAATAAGCATTTTTATAGCACCTAGTACGTGGGTGCTAGATGAAGCACTCTACCGAGTACTTTACAAATATTATCTCATTTGATCGTCAAAACAACCCTGGGAGGTAAGTGCTGTTATTATCCCCATTTTATAGCTGAGAAAACTGAGGAAGACAGTAGTTAAGTGACTTGTTCAGAGTCACAGAGCTAGTAAGTGTCTGAGACTGAATTTGAACTTAGGTATATCCTGAGTCCAGGTCCAGCACTCTATCTCCTGAGCCACCTAGATGTCTCTAAGAATATGGAAGACCATCATTACGTGTTTATTGAATCAATAAATGAATGATCAAATGAATGAATGAATGCCCAACTAGATAATGAAAAATATTAAGAAACTAGGGCCATATTTTGGATGGACAGAAAGAGGAAATAGAGAGACTTTAAGAAACACATCACAAGCCTTGTACAAAGGAATGATAAACTGATGAGTCAGTTGAGATATCTCCTTGAATTCTCTCCCTAACAAGAACAGACCAGGTAATGGCTTTTTGATTTGTTCAATGATAATTTAATCTTTCAAAAGGTGTAGGAACCCACCAGGGGTATTCTGAATTTGATTCTCACTGTCATGGAGGAACTGGTTGCTAAGGTGGAAATGGTGGGAAGGTTGGAAGGAAGTGACGACTCCATCCTGAAGTTTGGGACAGAGAAGGTTAGGAAATCTGGGCTTAGTCTGACAGGTACCTTCATTTTTGGGAAAGCAGATTTCATTAAGTTCAGGGGGAAAATAGGAGTATGATCCCATGAAATAACATGCTTCGGGCTAAGCCATCTCAAAGGGAATGCTAAAGAATGAAATTCAAAAGGCACAAAGGGGAAAAAAAAATCCCAATTAGGAGAAAAACTGAGATTGGTCTGAAAAGACCAATGTGAATGTGCAGGCAATTCACCAACCAACTTGAATGCTGAAGAAAGAAAGGCACAGAAAATGGAAGTAAATGCAGATAATAGAAAATGTATGTAAGAGGGAAGCACAGTCTTATAAAAATACTGCAGGAATGCTAAGGCTCAGAATGAGTTGAAGATGGTGAAGGAAATGTAAAGGCAACAAAAAGGGTTTTTGTTTTGGTGACATTGGAAGAAAAAAAGGGGGCTCAACGAAGAGATAGGACATTTTCTTCAGGTGGATGAAATGATAACTGACAGCAATGATGAGTCACTGAATTCTTATTTCATTTCTTTTTTTTTTCAGCTAAGGAGAATGGTCTTTGCCCCAGAAATGACAGGACAAAGTGGCTAATAAGAAGTTGATACCCAGGATAAGGAAGGAAATAATTTGAAAGCACCTAATTGCTCTTAAAGAGGACCACCAAGAGGGTGAAGAGCCTTAAGTCTATGACATATGACGATTGAATTAAAGGTGTTAGCATGCTTAGCATGGAGGATCTCTTGGGGGCCATGGGTGCAGAAACAGGAGCAATACAAAACCATCACAAAAAGGCACCTTTAGTCTTCACGTGAGGAAAAATTTCCTAACACTTGAAACTAATCAAAATAAGAATGAACTGCTGTGAGAGGTGACAGATTCCCTTTTCTTGGAGGTCTTCAAGAAGAGTTTGGATGCCACTTGATGAGAATGTTAGAGTGGGGCTTCCTTTAATATATGGCTTGAACTAGATGACCACTAAAGTCTCTTCCAACTCTTAGATTCCATGATTCTCTCACCCGCTGCAAAGCTTAGATACCCCAATACTTTCAACACTGGCAAAGATGGGATAGATTCAGTCGATTCTGTGTCTCCTTGGATGAGTCACTCACAGGCAGGCAGCTGCCCCAGGGAGGCTTGCAAAAGAGGGAGGTTCTGGTAATGAGGGTGAGGGTGGCAAGTCATTTTCAGAATTACAGGTAGATTACGTTTTGTTCGGGAGATAATTGGGATTGCAGAGATGGGACTGCCCCTACTTCCTCTGGGCAGGACTTCCCAGCTCTATAAAGGGACTCTTGCTGACAATGCAGCCATCCACCAGCCACCTGGTCTTCATCTGCGTTGGAGCATCTGGTGAGTCTTAGATTCTTCAGGGCTAATCTTGGGGCTGGGATTCCTCTTGGAGGCTGATGGGCAGAGGAGGCAGTCTGGTGGAGTGGAGAAAGTCTCGGCTTGGGAATCAGAAGTCCTGGGTTCTGGGTTCTAGTTCCTACTCTGCCTCTAACTAGCTTTGGAACCTTAAGGATATCACTTACCCTCTTTTAGCATGAGTTTCTTCATCTCTATAAGGTTTCTAATGGCCTATTAGTGATCTTGAAGGTGCCTTTGTGTCCTGGGAGGTCAGGAAATGCTTTCCCTCTCTTGCTGTATCCCCAGTGCTCAGCATAGCATCTGGCACATAGTAGGCATTTAAATGTTTGTCAGTTGAATGATCATTGTATGTTTCTATGAAATACCACAACTAGATAATTTCATGTTAAATACCTAAGATGCTCTTGTGGAACACTTTTGATTTGTCCTTATTGACACTGAAATTAGCAAAATTGATTAAAGAGCCCTGGTCAGAAAGGAAGAGACCTGAGTTTTTATCTTACATCTGTTACTAATCAGCAATGTGGCCTTGGTCAAGTCACTTTTGTTCTGGGTCTTAATCATCTTTCAAATGATTAAAGGTGAAAAGGGCAGCTAGGTAGTGCAGTGGGTAGAGAACTGGGCCTGGAGTCAAGAAGAATCATCTTCCTGAGTTCAAATCTGGCCTCAGATACTTACTAGCTGTATGAACTCGGGCAAGTCACTTACCCTTGTTTGCCCCAGTTTCCTCATCTGCAAAATGAGCTGGAGAAGGAAGTAGGAAACCGCTCCAGGATCTTTGCCAAGAAAACCCCAAATGGGGTCACAAAATGTCAGATATAACTGAAATGACTGAACAATGACAACAAAAGGTGAAAAAACCTTTTGATAAGATCTAAACTCTCCTAGCTCTGGCACAAAGATTCTTTTTGACCTCCAAGATCATTTCTAAAACTACAATTTTATGATATATGTTATGGAGGCAGCATGGTAGGGTATAGCTAAATTTAGATTCAGAAGACCTGAGTTCAAATCCTGACTCTGTCACTTACTACCCACCTGTGTGACCTGTGGCAATTTACTGGGCCTCAGTTCTCTTACTTGTAAAAAGAGGGAGGAGGATTAGACAATGTCAAAGATTCTTTTTTGCTCTGAATCTTCAACTTTTGTTTAATGAGGCTGATGCAGCTGGTTGTCTGGTTTGGGGTATTCAGAAAAGGTTGCTGAAGGGTCTTTAATAGATTGTTTTTGTTGGCTTGCCTGTAGGTAGTGCTGAAACATACTTTGTACAAGAAGTAAAGAGGCCCAGGAGAAATCTAGGAAGGACCTTGAACTAAAGGATGTTTTGGAAGGTGTTGGGGCCCCATCCTCCTTTAGAGGAGTCCAAGGGTTAGAGCAGAATCTCCCTTTTGACCGTCAGAGTCACCCATCTGAGGGTGAGCTTCTGGGGCAGCATGGGAGTCACTGGTACTGTCTCTGTACAGCTTGTGGCATATAAGGACCTGTGGTTTGGAGAATGAACTGAGGACGGAGAGAAATTAGCTAGAGGGAGCAAGGAGTAGATTACCTAATGAAAACATTGAGCTTAACTTGGTAGGTCACACACAAATCACCTATTACCTGTCTTGAATTAGAATCTCTTCCAACTAGGAAGGATCTGCTAGAGCTTATACTCCTCATTTTAAGCATTGAGACTCCAGGGTAACTTTTCTGTGATGCTATGTTGGGGGAATGGTGTGAGGGGAGAAATTATGACATCAGCTCACTTTATAGCATTTTACAGTTTATATGGAACTTTGCTCATATAACAGCATCATGAAGTAAGCAGAGAAATAGGGCAATATTCTTATGCCTACTTTGGAGTTGGAAAAACTAAGTGTAAGAAAAGTTAGGTGACTTGCACAAATCATACAGCTAGTGACTGTCAGACACAGGATTTGAATTTAGGTCTTCTAACTCACAGTCAAGTGGCATTTGAAACCCTAAAATTTAGCCCAAGATTTCTAAGATCATACTTAGTTCAACAGGAGGGTTCAGGCCATCCTGCCCTTAAAAGTACCTGACTGGGAACACTGTCTTTTGTTTCTTTCAGATTCCCTGAGATCCAGAAAGGATGTCCTACCAGTATCAGGAACAGTGCAAACAGCCTTGCCAGCCTCCTCCCAAATGCCCACAGCCTTGCCAGCCCAAGTGCCCTGAGCCATGCCCTCCCAAGTGCCCACAGCCTTGTCAGCCCAAGTGCCCTGAGCCATGCCCTCCCAAATGCCCAGAGCCATGTCTTCCCAAGTGCCCAGAACCATGTCTTCCCAAGTGCCCAAAGCCAAGTCCACCACAGCAGTGCCAGCAGAAATGCCCCCCGTGCCCTCCTCCCTGCCAGCAGCAGTGCCCGCCCAAGAGGAAGTAACAGTGCCTGATGCTGGCAGCACTATGAAACAAGTAGCTTGAGCAATCCTATGGATATCTGAGCTTCCAGCCATTGCCTCTGAATCTCCATGCTTCTCTGCCTTTGTTCTCCCCTGAAAGGAAAGTCAAGGAGAAGGCTTTTTAGAGTTGTAGTCACTTCAGGAACGTGACCTCTGCCTCACTCCCATCTTCCACCCCCATCATCCCACTCCTGGGATGAGAGACTACAGAGAAAGTACCAACCTACTCTACTCCAGGCTTCCTGGAACCTCAATCGAAGGACAATCCTGAGAGACCAGACTCCTTGGCCCCCTGCCACTTCATGAGCCCTCCTCTGTGCTGCAACCTGGGTGGTGATTTCCATTCCCTGAGCCCTTGTAACTCTCCTCCCACTGACTCAAATAAAGCGTATGTTTCATGGTGACACCTGAGTTGTTGTTTTTCTTGCCTTCCTAGTCCTCACCCTCAATTTTTCAGGTGGTGTCAGATCTGTCCTTATGAGTGTTTTCTATTCCTGTTTCATAACTTGATCTAGAATTTCTTTATCAATGGGAATAACAGGATAGTTTTGCTTGTGCATAGCGTTTCTTGGCTTATATCTCTTATGATTGCTCAGTTATTCCTGACAAGCACCCTCTGATGAAGGCAAGGCTCTGGCACTGTCATCCTCATTATTTTTAAATGATAAAACTGAGGCACTGTGAATTTACATGACTTCTTCAAGATCACACAGTGTGCAAGGGTTTGATGTAGGATGCAAACCTCAGTCCTTTTGCTTGCTGTCCAGTTGTCTTTTATGACACTACTCTTCTCTACTATGAATTGGCTTCAGTTTACTCTTATCTTTCTTAGTTTCATATACATATACATACATATATACATACATGCATACATACATGCATACACACAGATATATACATATATACACATATATAGTTGGTTTGGTTATTGTCCTTCATTCTCAAAGAGGACCAAAATAACATCACTATGTTAAAGTCAAGTTACAGTGTGTCCGACTGTGCCTGATCAAACCAATATGAGCTCAGAATGCTCTACCACAAGTCAGGCACAAATAGTCCATATGAACATTTGGGGTGGGTTCTCTAAATTTGCACATTTCATGTTTCTTTTGAGCTACTTCAATTCTGCTTTACTCATAGAGTCCGGCACCTTCTCTGATGAGGGCACTCCATGTTGTGTGGTCCTGTGCCAGTGTCTGCCATGTCACACAATCAATGCCAAAGTTCTTAAAAAAGGCCTTGAGAGTGTCCTTGTATCACTTTTTTTGTCCACCATGTGAGCACTTGCCCTGTATGAGTTCTCCATAAAATAGTCTTTTTGGCAAGTGTATGTTTGACATTCAAACAATGTGGACAGCCCATCACAGTTGTGCTTTCTGTAGTAAAGTTTGAATGCTTGGCAGTTTAGTTCAAGAAAGGACCTCAGGGTCGGGTATTTTATCTTGCCAGGTGATATTCAGAATCTTCCAAAAACAATGGAAATGGAAGAGATTCAGTTTTCTGGTATAGCACCGGTATACTGTCCAGATTTCATTAACAATGAGGTCAGCACAATGGTTCTGTAGACCTTTGGTTTCGTAATCAGTCTAATACCTCTTCTCTTCCACACTTTCCTCTGGAGCTTCCAAACACTGATCTTGCTCTGGCAATTTGTGCGTCAACTTCATTATCAATATCTACATCCCTGGAAAGTACACTACCAAGATAAGTGAACTTATCCATAGCATTTAAAACTTCTCCATTTGCTGTAACCGATAGTTCCATGTATGAATGGTATGGTGGTGGCTGATGGAGTATCTGTGTTTCCTTGGTGTTGATTGTTATGCCAAAATTAGCACAAGCAGCAGAGAATCCATAGTTTGTCGCGTTTCAACTTCAGAGGCTGCACAGATGAAATTCACTTTTATGTTGATAATAACAATCCAAAGTACTTTTATCATACCCCGAAGGCTATTTATGGGCCAAAGACCTATGATGCATCTCAACTACTCAGTGATGATGGAGCCACATTGATTAGTGATAAGGACATGATCCTAGAGAAATGGGCTGAACACTTCCATAGTGTTCTCAACAGACTGTCATCAATCAATGCTGAAGCCATTGACTGTTTACCTCAAGTTGAAGTCAATCCCTCCCTAGCTGAAGTTCCAACTGAAGAAGAGGTTTTGAATGCCATTAGGCTCCTTTCCTGTGGCAAAGCACCTGGTGTTGATTCTATTCCAGCTGAGATTTACAAGGTGGGGGGCGGTCCATTGCTCATAAAAAGCTGACTGAATTTTCTGGTTTATATGGCAAGAGGAAGTTATCCCTCAGGAGTTCAAGGATGCCTCCATTGTCCATCTCTATAAAGGTAAAGGAAATAGATTGTCCTCTGGCAATCATGGGGGGATTTCTTTCTTAGTCATTACTGGCAAGATTCTTGCCAGAGTCCTCTTTAATAGGCCAGTCTTTCACCTGGAAGATGGTTATCTACCTGAGAGCCAGTGTGGCTTCAGAAAGGGCTGTGGAACAATTGATAGGGTGTTTGCTGCCCAACAGCTCCAGGAGAAATGCCAGGAGCAGGACAGAGGTCAGTACACAACATGTGTAGACCTGACCAAGACCTTTGATACTGTCAGTTGTCAGAGCTTCAGGGAAATTATGTCAAAATTTGGTTGCCCAGAGAAGTTCATCAGCATTGTATGTCAATTTCACAATGGCATGCTTGCTCGGGTTCTGGGTAATAGACAATGCTCTCGTGTTTTCCTGGTCATTGATGAAGTGAAACAAGACTGTGTGCTTGCTCACATGCTTTAGCCATGTCATCAGATACATTCAATGAGGATGAACATGGCATCAAGGTTAGCTACCTTGTAAATTCTTCAACTTGAGAAGGCTACAAACCAAGACTAAAGTGGGAGTATGGGTACATGACTTTTTGTTTGCAGATAATTGTGCTCTCTCTCTCTCTCTCTCTCTCTCTCTCTCTCTCTCTCTCTCCCTCTCTCTCCATATATATATATATATAGATATAGATATATATAGATATATATACATATACGCTAAGGCTCAGAATGAGTTGAAGATGGTGAAGAAAATGTAAAGGCAACAAAAAGGGTTTTTGTTTTGGTGACATTAGAAGAAAAAAAGAGGGTCAAAGAAGAGATAGTACATTTCCTTGGGGTGGATGAAATAATGATAACTGATAATTGAGTCACTCAATTCTTATTTCATTTCTTTTTTTTCTGCTAAGGAGAATGGTTTTCATGCCAGAAATGACAGAACAAAGTGGCTAATAAGAAGTTGATACCCAAGATAAGGAAGGAAATAACTTGAGATCACCTAATTGCTCTCAAAGAGGAACACCAAGAGGGTGAAGAGCCTTGAATCTCTAACACATGAAGATTGAATTACGGGTGTTAGCATGCTTAGCATGGAGGATCTCATTGGTCCCATTGGGCAGAAATAGGAACAACACAAAGACGTTGTGAGAAAACACTCTCTTTGAGAAAGTGGTGCCTGTGGAATGGTTTCCCATAAAATTCTCCAGATAGTCTGAACAGCAAGGATGAATCAAGCATTCTGCTAGGAGTTGGGAGGAAATACAAGGAAAAAGAAAACATAGCCCCTGCCCTAAAGGAGATTATAGTCCATTTGAGTGATCTATCATTGTGAGACAAGCTGGTGACATACTAATTAACACATTTTTAGCTCTTTTATCAGACAGATTTGAACCATATCCATTTATTACAGAAAAAATTACACAAAATGTCACTCAGGAAGCTCTGAAGACATTGCTTACTTTCCCCCACCAAAGAAAGTTTCCTCACTCTCACTCATGCTTATGTCAGAGTAAATGAATTCACTGGACCTTTTTCTTTCTTCAGGGTTGAGGTTCTGTGCTCCCTATATGGTCAAAACTCTTGCTGAGTCTTCTTGAACATAGAGATGAACACATGCTTGCTTTTCATGGGCCTTTTCAGCTCCCATCTTACCTCCAGTGCTGTTGGGCAAATTGCCTCGAAGATTAGATAAGTTTCAAGAAGATTTTGCCACACTAGGTAGGGGTGGTGGTGGAAGGAGAAGAACTAATGAGTCTTGCCCTCCATTACTGCTGCCATGACAATGGTCTCTGCTCATCCACCCTGCTCCTATCTTTTTTTGCAGGGTTTTGTTCGTGATATACAGAAATGCTGATGATTTAGGTAGGTTTATTTGATATACTCCTACTTTGCTAAAACTATTAATTGCTTCAATTAACTTTTTAGTTGAATCTCTAAGATTTTCCAAGTATATCATCATATTGTCTGCAAAAAGAAATAGTTTTATTACCTCATCACCCATTCTGATTCCTTGAATTTTGTTTTCTTCTCTTATTTCTTTTACTAGCATTTTTAATACAATATTGAATAATACAGGCATCCATATTTCTCTCCTGAGCTTATTGGGAAGGCTTTTTAGCTTATCCCCATCACAAATAAGGCTTGCTGATTATTTTGGATAGGTGCTCCTTATCATTTTAGGACAAATCCATTTATATCCATGCTTTCGAGTGTTATTTTTTTTTATAAGAATAGATGCTGTATTTTGTCAAAACCTTTTCCTGCATCTATTGAGATAAGTATATGATTTTTGTTACTTTTGTTATTGATATAATCAATTTTGTTAATAGTTTTCCTTTTGTTAAACCATCCCTGCATTCCTGGTATAAATCATCTTTGCGATGTACTGTTGTAGCCTCCTGGCTAGTGTTTCATTTAGAATTTTTGCATCTAATTCATTAATGAAGTTGGTCTATAATTTTCTTTCTTTGTTTTGGTTCTTTGTGGTTTAGATATCAGCATCATACTAGTTTTGTAAAAGGAGTTTATTAGGACTCCTTATTTACCTATTGTTCCAAATAATTTATTAATTATTGGCATTAATTGATCTTTAAATGTTTGGTAGAATTAACTTGTACATCCATCTGGTCCTGATGCTTTTTTTCTTAGGAAGCTCATTTATTTATTTTTCTAAAATAGGTTTATTTAGATATTCTATTTTCTGTTCATCTAAACAGTTTATATTTTTGTAAATATTCTTCCATTTCACTTAAACTGTTAAATTTGTTGGCATGTAATTAGGCAAAATAATTCTTAACAATTGCTTTGATTTCATCTTTATTAGTGACATATTCACCTTTTTCATTTATGAAAGTACTAATTTGGTTTTCTTTTCTCTCTCATATTAACTAATGATTTATCTATTTTAATTTTTTTTCATAAAAGTCACTTTCAGTTTTATTGATTAATTCAATGGTTATCTTACATTCAATTTTATTAATCTCACCTTAATTTTTTTTAGAATTTAGAATTTGGTGTTTAATTGGGGATTTAGAATTTTTTTCTAGTTTTAAAAATTGCATACCCAATTCTTTGGTCTGCTC